CCCTTAGAGCACCGCCTTGGGGAAAAGGCACTGAGTGATGACTTCAACACAGAATTCACATGAAACAGCTGCAATATCATGAGAAAGCCCATTTAAGCTTAAGTGCTGTTTATGCATCAAAAATTGTGGTTTGGGATTCATTTAAGTTTCCTTTTTTTTCATGTGAAAAGTAGCAAACAAAATTTTTCTGAGAACTGAGAGGGAAGTTTAGTCTCCATATATTGCTTGTAAATCACTTTGTTACCCAAAGGTTAAGCTTTTTAACTAACATTAGAAATTTCCAAATCAGTAATATAACTGACAGGTCACATAATTTAGATTCTATTACATCACAGAGTTCCATCATGGTGCCAGGAGAAAGATCTACGGAGGAGCTAAGGAGGCATCAACAATCACTTAAGAGAGCAAGTGCCAAAGAGAAAATGGATAGCATTGATTCAAGCCTCTCCCCAAGCCTGCTGCGTCTGGTTAATCAATCGAGGGACAAGGGCGCAAGTTCTTGGCTGAATGCGATGCCTCTCGCAGACAAAGGTTTAGCCCTCAACAAGCAAGAGTTCAGAGACTCGCTACGCTTGCGTTATGACTTGCCCTTAGTCGATTTACCAAGTCATTGCATATGTGGGGATAAATTCACCGTTAGTCACGCCCTCTCTTGTAAAAAGGGGGGTTTGTAGCGCAGAGACATGACGGTGTACGGAACTTGTTAACGACATTCATCAACAAGATCTACAATAATGTCGAAATCGAACCACGCGTTCAACCCCTGGACAACGAGCGATTTCATTTGAGGAGCGCTGTTACAAGTTCTGAGGCAAGGTTGGACATCAAAGCGGGAGGTTTCTGGGCAAGAGGAGTTACGGCATTTTTTGATGTTAGAGTTACGCACGTCAACTCCAAGTGTTACCAGAGCAAGCCAACATCGGAAGTGTTCAAAGAGCAAGAAGAAGAGAAAAAGCGCAAGTACCAGCAGCGGTTGTTAGATGTAGAAATGGGTTCGTTTACGCCTTTAGTGTTTGGAACCAATGGCGGAATGGGAAACGAGTGTCAGCGGTTCTTAAAGCATCTCGCAGACAAGATAGCACAGAAAGACACCGAGCCTTATCATGTTGTAATTACTTGGCTCAGGACACAGATCTCGTTTGAACTCTTAAGATCGGTACATGCATGCGTCAGAGGTTCGCGAACGCCGTTTCGTAGCAAGATAGAGCAATCATTAGACTGTAAAATAAATGTCCCTAGTGCGGATATCTGAAATACGTGTCTATATGCTTTTATACTTAGGGCTTTTTATGGACACTGGTTTAGCCGTCATTAGTATAATTCGATTGCAGGATCTTAATATCTCTGCATAATGGAATTCTTAATTTTATAGAATTTTGAACTTTTATTATTAATTATATCTATTTCCTCTTCGTTTATGTAAGGTTAAGTTACTTCTATTTTTTTAGAATTTGTGAATGAATAGTTTTTTCTATCTTCACTTATAATATATAGGATTGTTTTTGTTCTCTAATGAAGGACGAGGGGTTTCTTTTGTAACGGATGGAATTGTAGATAGTGTGTTGATGAATTAATTAGATTTTTTGTAACAGCAGGTTGATTGTAAATAGGATTTTAATTGAGGTTTTGTAATAAAGATTCCTTTAAAAAAAAATTATTAAAACATTCCAACACAAGTAATAATAATAATAATAATAATAATAACAATAATGAAAACTTATATAGCGCAACTTTCCATGGGACATGATCAATGCGCTTTGAAGGACTTGATAAGTCTTACAAGGTCCATTCACTTGAATCTGCAACTTTATTTTACACGTGAATATACCGAGCATGGGTGCAGCATGGGTACAGTAACCCTGAGTTATGTAACAATTCGAGCTTAAGGTCAGTGCCAAAACAATTGAATCAAATTCTCGGACCGATAAATAAGAAATTCACTGCATTTATAACATCTCTTAAAATACAGTGCACCCCCGAGTCTAATCTCCGTCTACTGAAATGTACAATTGCAATTTTACAACTAAGCTTTTAAAAAGCAGCACAAATCGCTCGAGAGGCAAGCTGTCATTCAGATGGACTAAAAGCTCCTGTCATTTTTTCTGTCATGTCATGACCGTACATGAAGTACCTACCGGTGTAGTACTTGGACGATGTAGGCACGTATAACGTGCAAGACCTTTGTAAAAAAAATCCCCCTCCCCCCCAAAAAAAAAAACAACGAAAGACGACAACACTGGTCGCTACATCACATTCTCAATATTAAGAAAAACTGTGGTCCAGAGTAGTTTTACTGGGATCACAATTAGTCACTGAGTAAGAGAAGAAAGTGAACAAAGGACTCGTCGTTGTACCTTGTCAAAACTTGCTTCCTCCCGACCTACTGCAGTCATTGTCATTATATATTAATATATAGATTTAGCCAGGGCTAAAAGCGAAGCTCCTATTAAGTCGAATTTATAATTTAAATCAAACAATAAACTTGTATTCCACAAATCAGTTAACTTTAGAGCACATTTATGTGACTTTTGAGGGAAAGGCTAAGTGATTTTAGAGAAAAATAATTTGCAAACAGTCCATCTAAGAGTGAACTTAATCTTACATCGAGTAGATAGCCTTATATGTACACCCAAAAAATAGCGATTATCTTCGATCACATTTAACAGCCATAATGGCTCTTGATCACAGTAGATTAGGCCTGGAAAACAAATCAGGCCGAATTTTTTGCGTTCGACAAGTTTACTTTACAAAATCTTGCCGACAAGTCTGGGGACTTGTAAACCAACCTTTTATACTTTTTATACATCACATCTGAGGTGAAACAGTACCATGAGGTGCTGTTTTTACCAAACAGACCCCGGACAGAATGCAGTATTTCACAATTTTGCAACACAAATTGCATTCATTCAATCAGGACGATCAAGCTAGTGTGGGCTTTTAGCGAAACCGTTAAAAAAATTTCCAAAATCACCTATACGGGCTAGCTCTCACTTTGGACAAGCGGCAAAGTCGACTGTTGAAATAAAGATTAATAGGGTTACACGCTTCAACATAATAAAGAATTTATTATGTTTATTTTTTATTTAATGGTTTTATAAGGATGTGTAATCTTCATAAGCGTTTGATACGCGCGGCATTTTGACTACTCCTGCAAGCGATGTTTACGAGCGACTGAAAACAAACGGCACAGCGATTAAAATTGCATAAGAGACTACTAACAATCAATAAAAGGAAAATAATATACAGAGACAACAATTTTCATTCACGAAGACAAGTATTAAAGTGTCTCTGAAAATCCTTGTTTATGTTTTAAGCCTGCTTCCCGGTGTTTGCTTTTTTCAAAGATGAACTCGAGGCAAGAAAATCGCTCAAAGTTTTCTTTTACAGCCAGAATTATTTAACAATTAATGAATGAGGCTGAGTATCTTATGAAGAATTATGGAGATCGAGGAGGGTGTTATCCGTCGAGACCGTAGACCGAGTAGGATAACACCCTCCGAGATCTCCATAATTAGTTTCGCTTGATTGAGGAAAGCGAGACTCTTAAAATGCACTCGTTTTTTTTTTTTTTTTCGGTGGGACCTAGTTTGTAGGCCCCGCGTTCCTAGCGAAGACCGCGGAAACTGGGGATAAGAATCGTGACGACTTTCATTGTATGGAAATGAGTCTCGTGATGAGAATGCAGTTTATTTCGGCGATGACTTAAATGACGCATGTAAGTTTGGCAATGACGTAATTTTCCTCGAATGGAGGCCCTTGATTTTCGTGTAATTATGCACGACATGCAGGCACATCCCCAAGAAGGATGAGAAAATATTATAGCGGGGAAATCCTCAGGGTTTTGTGGCTTTTTAAGGCGTCACGTTTCTCAGAATATTGTCGCAATTACAGGAAATGTACGGTTAAATAGATTCACTTTGTTTTATGTATTTAATTGATAGATTTTCGCAGTTGTTACGATGTGAAGTCGTGTTGCACTTCATAAATACTTGAGATATGAAGTATCCACTGTCACGTAATTTTTACGTGCGCACGTGCGTAAAATTTGCGTTCGCAAATAAAATAAAGGTAATGTATGAAAGGCTGCACGTACAATTATGTAAACGTAAAAGTAGAAACTCGCTTAATTTGACGTTTAATCTCAATAACTTATGTCTTTCCTCTATTTGATTTACGTGATTAAAATTTACGTGCGTTAACGTGCGGAGCCAAAAACGCATCAGTGGAAATCCACCCTAACGTGTCACGGATGTGTACGGGTAGCTTTGAACATGACTAACCGCACACTCTACTTGCAGCACTTCATGTCCATAGTTAATAGAAATCCCATATCGAGCTTTTCCGGAACAGGTTGGTCCAAGAATTCTATGGCTTGAAAGCTTTGATTATTTTGGAACAACTGAACACTTCAGTGGTCGAAAAAAAAAGAATAATCTTAATGAGCAAAACTGCAGGGTTTACTGGAAAACCAGGATCGAGGATCGAGAATCGAGAAATCAGGGATCAAGGATCGGTTAAAAAGAACTTGAAAATAAAATAAATAAATAAATCGTGGATCAGTGATGATGTGGGCCGCAGACTGTAGATAAATTTCACAGAACATAACCCCGTTCGCTATACTGAACGCTAAATTCAAGTAAACTAATCCGAGTCCGTCTGAGCCAGTGATTGTTTTGACGAGAAAGTGAAATTTTCCGGGAAAGTGAAACGCTTTATCCTGGTGATACTGTAATACAAGAAAAAACTTTTAACAGTTTTTAACTTTTAAGTGTACATTTGCTTTCAGTACTCCTTATTGTTCTTGTAATTGTCGTATGCACGACCCCACTTGCAATGCTGATCTTTTTATCGTGCCATAAACTAAGGTTTTTACCTACCCACCTACCTACCTACCTATCTATCTATCTATCTATCTATCTATCTATCTATCTATCTATCTATCTATCTATCTATCTATCTATCTATCTATCTATCTATCTATCTATCTATCTATCTATCTA